CACACCTTTACAAACCCATCTTACCAAGTGTATATTCCCCTTTTAGGGTGTTTTGAATTCTGTTTTAGAGCTGTTTAATTTCATATCACTAGTTGGATATGATAAAACCACACATACTGATATATTGAGATATCTCTCTCTCTCTCTCTCTCTCTAGAATGGGTGGGATCCCTGCAGTCAGTGGTAAAGGAGAGAGACTCCTGCTCTTCATAGGCATCATAGACATCCTGCAGTCCTACAGGTGACTCACTGACACACTCAGAACAATATTCTACAATGCTTTTTTTCTAGAGCTGTGCAACGATTAATCGCATCCAAAATAAACGTTTGTGTTAACGTAATATATGTGTGTGCTGTGTAATTATTTTAATTAATAATTATAAAATCATTATTATTATTTGAAAAAATAATGTAATAATTATTTTATATAAATACACGCACATGCATGTACAGTATATATTTAAGAAATATTTGCATGTATATATTTATACACAATTAATATTATACCAATTTATCTTAAATATATACATGCATACAGTATGTGTGTATTTATATATCCACACACATTATGTAAACACAAAGTTTTATTTTGGATGCGATTAATCGTTGCCCAGCGTTAACTTTCTTTTCTCTAAAGCAGAGTATTTTGCGTACTATCCATCCTAAATAGTATGCATTATTGCAATATAAAAGAGTATGACAACGTTTCCTGGATATGGTGGATTTTCAAAGTATCGTTTTAACGTTAGTTTTAGGCTAATATCGTGCAGAACCCTGTTTTTTTATTTTTTTATGTTATATATGTGATAATGCATGTTTGTTGGAGCCTGTGGTTAAGACAGATTTTATGGGATGGTTATATGCTACAAGTTATATAAGATATATAAAAGCCAGATGCAGTTTTTAAATGTGCTCTGTTCTGTAAATCAGTGTAAACACTAAATCCTGATTTTCATGGACCATGACACACACACACACACACCCAATGAAAATACTTAATTTTAATGCCCACATTTCATAGAATAAACTAAAGCAAAGCTGTGGAGATTTAAATATATACTCGTCTTTTTAGTGCGTATTATTTTCAGGAGTGATTGCCATACAAGCATCAAACCCACTTTAAGATTTAAATTATAAATTATAAATAAAATGTTTTATAATATAAAGTTTACATTTAAGAGCTAGGTGTAAGATTTAGATTTAATTGTTATATATAAATTGATATATAAAAAATATTATTTGAAATAATTCTTAAACAATATTTATTTTTTAATTTGTGTTTTATGAAATAAAAAAAATGCTAAACTATAAATGTATTAAAAAAAATACCTGCCTACCTTTTAAGACTCTGAATTAAGTAAATCTGTCCGTTTGTTGATTTATTTATTTATTTGTTGGCAAAATTGTGACAATATTTTAAATTGTGTGTTATACAACTTGTGCCTTGTAGTTGTTATTAAAAATAATATTTAAAATAATTAAGAAATACTTTTTTATAATGATCTACATTTTAAGATGCTTAATTAGGTATATCTTGCCATTTATTTATTTATTGCTATAATTATTATAACATTTTTTTTTATATTTTTATTATATATGTATATATTTTCTCCTGCTGCTCTTTGGCTCTGCTCATCTGCATCCATTAGTGTGTGTGTGTGTGTGTGTGTGTTCTTTCGCTGAGTCATGTGGACCTCATAAAGACCATCTGTAACGAAGCGCTCAGCTTGATAATCTCCACTAGCGTTGGGTTGTTGAATGTGCTGTTATGTAAGATTTCTGGAAGACACAATAAAATAAACCCAAAGCTGTCCATCAGACTGTGCTTCTGTGTATCTGTGCGCTGATGTGTGTGTGTGTGTGTCTCGTTCCTGCAGACTCATAAAGAAGCTGGAACACACGTGGAAGGCTCTGGTCCATGATGGGGTGAGATAAAAACATCATTCAGGATTATAATGTGTCATAGTCCTCCTGCCATCTCTATCATTAATAGACATCACCTCCATCTCATGTGTGTGTGTGTGTGTGTGGCTGTTCACTGAGACAGTGGGTAGACTTTGATAAGTATCACTTGTGTTTGGTTTCGCTGTAGAGTGTAATTCTTTCCATTCGCTTTCCAACTTCTGTTTCTCTACTTCATTTCCAGTCTGTCCTTTTCTCCCCAAATACTTCCGTATGTTACTGTAAATAAAGAAAACACTGTCTTGATGGCTCAGAAAGCCGAATATCAGGATCTGTTTTTGACTTATTTATTTCTAAAAACTTTATTATTTTCAATTTTTTTTAGAAGTGTAGATTTTTTCTTAGTATATATTTTTTTGTGATTCTTATTAGATTCTAATTTTTAGATTGTGAAAATTGAGATTCTCAATAGATTATGTTTATGGTAACGTAATATAATACAACATAAAATATGAATATAATGATTTTTTTTATTTTTATTCAGGATAAATTAAATGCAGTCAACAAATTCTACCATGATGGAAAAAAAAATGTTTTGTAAGTTTGTTTTTTTTTAATACATTTTCTGTATAAAAAAAACAACAGAACCGGAAGACAATACAATGCTGAGTAAAGTTGTAGTTTTTGCTATTTTTGGACCAAAATGTATTTTTATTTTTTTATTTATTATTTTTTTTTTTTTTTGCTTTTTATTGAACATGAACATCAGTCAAGTTAGTTTTTTTTTCACCCCTTTATCCCAGCTTAATGCACCCCCCCTTCCCAGAAAAAAAAAACAATAATAATAATGATAAATAAATTAAACAATAATAATAGTAAATAAAAAAACAGAATAGCACAGATAAAAGGGAAAGTAAATAACAATTACACATAGCAAGTTAGATCTCAGAGAAGACAATAAATAAACAATGTTTAGACTTTACAGGACTAGTAAGTTTACACAGAGGTAAAGGACATTTTTTTATTTATATAAGCCTCACTTTTTATATTACTTTCTCAATTTGGGAAAGAAATTACCCCACATTTTCATAAACAAATCATGACGTCCTGAGGCTCTATATATATATATCACGCGTTCATACAAAATGTATTTTCGATGCTTCAAAACACTGTAACTAACCCACTGATGTCACATGACTACTTTGATGACGTCTTTATTTCCTTTCTGGACAAGGACAGTATACCGTACACACATGTTCAATGGAGAGACAGAAAGCTCTAAAATATCTTAAACTGTGTCCTGAAGATGAACGGAGGTCTGACGGTCATTAATGACATCATCTTTGGGTGAACTAATGTTGAAACCCACTTTGCCTGATGTCTCACAGGACACTGTTTCCGTCCACCGGCCCAACTTCTACGCCGACCGCTTCTTCCGGTTCATGAGCAGCACTGTGTTCAAGAAAAGCACTTGTGAGTACTGCTGATAGAGTTACTGTGTAGTTCAGAGAGCTAATTCAATTTGAATAAGCAGACACTTAATATGGCGTGTAATATAACAGCAGCTGTGTGTGTTTTCTCCAGCGCTGAAGGCTTCTCCGGCTAAGAAGGGTCGTGTGGCCCTGAACGTGCCCAAGCTCAGCGGCCCCGGGTCGGCCTGGTCGGCCAGTCAGTTCCCGTCAGAGCGAGACCAGAACATCTATGACCTGAGAGGAGCGCGCAGCTTCCCCGTGCTGGAAAACGACGGTACTGTTCATGTGTTTATGGTCACACTTTAGTTTAGGGTCCAATTCTCACTATTAACTACGGCTTTTGTGTCAGTAAACTCATAATGACTGCTTATTAATAAATATTATTATTATTTTTTTAGTTTGATAATGTTTTTTATTTAATATTTGGTATTTTTGAGGGATTTTTTTTTATTCTAAATTATATTTACACTATATTTATATTCCATTTATTCACTTTTTTTTATTTATTTTTTATTTTTTATAATTATTAAGGTTGTTAGGTTTAGGTAATGGGTCGATTTAGAGATGTAGAATATGATCATGCAGAATAGACAATTTATATAGAGACATGCCACTTCAATACAACTAAAACCCGTAACACCAAAGATGGCGGCCGAGTAGCACGACTTGCCTAAAAGGACTTTGGGATAGTTCACTTTGAAATTAATTTTTGGTATGTTTTAGCTTACCTCAAGGGCATCCAAGATGGCGGTGTCTTTGTTTCCGCAGTATTTTCAATTTTGATATTTTTAGGTCAAACCGTTCTTGTCTGTCAGTCATATAATGGAGGTCTATGGTCACCACCTCCAAGAGCATGCAGAGAAGTCCAAATCCAAATTAAACATGATTTAATGACTCGTAAATGTCATCGTAAAGGCCATCAATGTGTACTTACGTTTACGAGTCATTAAATCATGTTTAATCTGGACTTCTCTGTGCATGCTCTTTGAGGTGGTGACCATAGACCTCCATTATATGACTGATAGACATGAACGGTTTGACCTAAAAATATCAAAATTGAAACTAATCCAAGCTAAAACAAACCAAAAATTAACTTCAAAGTCAACTATCCCTGTAATATGTGCTTTATAAAGACTAATAAACACCCTATATCTTAGTAATTTGCATGATAATAAACAAACAGCTCCCCCCATTCTGGAAACACTTTAGTTTAGGGTCCAATTCTCACTATTAATTATGGCTTTTGTCTCAATAAACTCCTAATGGCTGCTTATTAATAGTTAGTAAGGTGGTTGGGAAACACTTTATTTTACAGTGTCCTTGTTACATAATGTACTTACCATAATAATAACAACAGTAAATTATGCATAAATACATGTAACTAACCCTCAACCAAATCCTAACCCTATAGTAATACATCTAGTTGCTTAATATTACTGTCACTACACGCACACACAGGGAATAGAGATCCAAAAGCAGTTTATTATAAAGGGTAATCCATACTTAAGACCAGTCCAGGCAAAGGTCAAAATCCCAAAAAATTAAAGACAAACACTAGAAAAAAACAGGCTCGAAAACAGCAGAAGTGTGGGGACAATAAAGAAAAAACAGAAGGTATATATACAAGTGCTAACAGGGTGATGAGAAATGAATAATCAGTGACAGACAGGATCATGGGAAGTGTAGTGAGAATACATCGTGAAAACTGAGGCCCTCTAGTGTTTAACCCAGGGAACAACCAAACAATCCGACAATCACCCAGTGCTCAAATATATAATTACACAGTGATAAAGACACCTTCAAATAAAGTGTAACCGATAGTGGTGGGATGTAGAATATGGTCATGCAGAATAAGGCATTAATATGTGCTTTATAAAGACTAATAAACACCATTTATCCTCATTATACCTATATGCATGCTAATAAACATAAATGTTTCTGAAACGTTCTAGCAACTTATATATTACAAATCATATAACATTGAGAATTAGCTTCGGCTAAAATGTTGTAGTGTGGAAGATGAGCTTATGTAACATATTAAAATAAATACACTGTAGCCATCCTCTGTTTGCTGATGTTGTTTGTGTCAGGTCTGCAGTCTTGCACTCCTCCGTCGTTCGAGGAAGCGACCACAGCGTCAGTGGCCACAACTCTGTCCTCAAACACCTCCATATCTATCCCAGAACGCTCCCCGTCGGACACCGCAGAACACACACGCTACAGGTCCACACCTCTCCAATTATCAAACACTGACCTTCAAATGCATAACTGTTAATCACGTACTTAATATACAGTCAAACCAACAATTATTCAGACATCAGATATCATTTTTACTAGTTGGTGTAGGACACTATAATTAATTTATGAGGATAGCAAAATGTCTGAATACATCTGGTTTGTCTGTATATATAAATACACACATGCATGTATATATTTAGAAATTTGTTTCTCTCAAAATATTTATATTTTATATTTTATTTATATATATATAATACAAATATATATATATAGCAAATATTTCCTTAATGTATACAATGCATGCGTGTGTATTTATATGCAGTATACAGTACACACACATATTATGTAAACACAAACTGTTGCACGGCCCTAATTATAATAATTGCAGATTTCTTGTTGCATCCAATATTGGTTCTTTGTCATGTTTTAATGCATTTGGTGCATAACAATTAATGCATTAAAAATACTTTTATTATGCATTAAAGTAAAGTGTTCTCACAACAACTAGCCTGCGTTGTTCTGACCGTATCCATATGAATATGCATTGTTCTGAATATGAATGTTGATTGTCTCGACAGAAGACGCACACTGTCTCTGAAAGATGGCGAGGGGAGGTGAGCTTGATTTGCGTTGCCGTATGTGTGTGTTTAGTGTGCGTCTGGTTTAATCTGTGTGTTCCCGCAGGACTCATGAAGTGGTGGACGTGCACGAGGAAGAGCAGCAGACCATCACTGTGCAGGTGGAGGTGAAGAGAGAGAGAGTAGAGGAGGAGGAGGAGGAGCCTGACGTCTCTCTGACACAGTATGTGCAAACAAGACCTCATTACTCCACTAAACACACACCTATAGAAAAATCATGTTCTGCAGTGCATATACATGCATGCATAGGTATTTATATATACAAAATAATTATATACAGCACACACAAATATATTATGTAAACACAGACTTTTATTTTGGATGCGATTAATTGCAATTAATTTTTGCACAGCCCTAATATATGTATATATATATATACAAGAGCCCGGCCGATAAAGGATTTTGGAGGCCGATACCGATACAAATATTTGTTGGTTTTAAAATCCGATATATCGGCCCGATATTTTATTTTTTATTTTTCACAGAAACGCGCAACAAAACATTAACAGATTTCCCTGACATTATTTATTTGTTTGTATTTGTAATATGATAATGCATTTTAAAAAGAAACTTGTTTCTTTTATTGTCACAACAGAACAGACGAACATCAAAATATATTAAAGTTCTGATAAATAAAATAATAATTAGTCCCTACATTGCTTTATAAGCTACCTGCAAACTGGATCAGCAGGATGTGTGGCACGTTATACACGAGTGTTGCCAACAGGAACGATGTAGAGCGCCCTCTGGTGGACAAACTATACAACTCCAACACTCATGACATGATTCAAGCGTGTTTCGTCCGTTTTTATTTTATTTTATTTCATTTATCGCCCATTATAACTGCCGATATTTTAGACCAAAAGTTTGCCAATGAAGAGCAAGCCCCAAAAGCATGTTACAGTGTACCCTCTGACATAGGCTATTACATGTCTGTACATTATTAATTGCATATTTAGTATAGCCTTAGAGGCCTGTGGTTGTCATTTCAAGCTAAAATCTAATATATAATGTCAAGATGTTCTATGATCAGACCCTGTGTGCCCATGTCTACCCATCCATGTCTGATGGTAAAACACGCTGATGATCCATGGTGAAGGGGTTAATAGCATCTAACTCATAAATCTCCAGGGAAACGTTTATCATCAGGTGATGCTCAAGGGTGTTGCTTAGAATTCAAGAGGGTTTTCTGAGGACTGCCTTGACTGTCTGAGCAAAAAAAGAAAAGTAGTGTTGTTGTATTTCTCATCCTTTCTTATTCTGTCCCTGAATTTATATATATATATTTTCTGGTCAGAGTGTTAATTAACCATGAAGGAAAGTTATAGCCCCAAATTCTGCCATAAATACTTCAGTAATTATCATGCTGAGATCATGGAAAAATCAAACAGCAATACAGTTGTTGAAGCTCGTTTATTTTCCTTTTACTAACCATTAGCGGCTATACTTCTCATTATTCAGACAATTGGCTAATTTATTCTCACCTCTCAGAGTATGCTAAAGCTTTCCACATTTGCTATTATGCCATTTATCAGTGTTTTATCCTCATATTCACACGATTAACTATTCGGGCCTGAGGTTTATTCTCCTACTTTAATTTGGAAAATTATTCAATTTAACTGGTGACCCAATGGAGGCTAGAGACTGATCCTTTCCGTGTGGATGTGCTGGCTTGGGGACATGGAGTTAGCTCCTATAAGGCTTCAACTTAAATACTGTGTCAGTTAAAAAGAAGTGCTCATCTATAGTTGCAGCAAAAAAAAAAAAAAAAAATCAGTTTCACAGCTGCCCTTCACCTTGAAGCTGAATGTCATGTGCTTGTTTAGGCTGGTGTTTTGTCATTGTTTTTACCCTGATGTGCCCACAGTTTCAGGTCAGAATTTTTCATTCCCTCTTTCACTGAGAAAAACGATCATAAATTTGTCCTGTCTAGTTTCTGAAACACTATTATCTTTGCTGTCCCATCACTGATTGATGAGAGTAGCAATAACTGTTGCACTTTTTTGGTTTATCATGCTCATTTATTTAGAAAATGTTTGTCTCAACCTAGTTCAAAGGTGAAAATAACGCAAACATTTGAACAGTTACTGTACATTATCATTCAAATAGTTATTTTTACTGTTTTTAAAAGACGTCTTTTATGCGTACCAAGTCTGCATTTATTTGATCTAAAACAGAGCTAAACAGTGAAGTATTATTACAAGTTTAAAAACTAAATTCTATTTTAATATACTTTTAAATGTTGCCTTCTCTTTTGCCTTTGTTGAACCTGTTCCTTTCTTGACAGTTTTTGGTCTGTTTTTTCAATTTTCGGTTCTGTTTTTCTCTTAGACTCTTAGATACTTGACAGGTATCAATTTTCTTTCTTTTATAATGAGAGGATTTCTCACAGCATACAAATATAAATTAAACAAAATGAAATTTTGCTTGTATGATTACTGTGTAAATTGATGATATTTTCAATTGTGGTCTATTTAATTACAGCTCAAAAAGAGTTGTTGACCGAACATTATTATGTAACAATTTATCAAACATCTGACGAAGTGTGTTCCATAAACAACTATCCCATTTTTAAACTGATTACAAGGATCTGCAGGCGACATTGTGGGTTCAGAGAGATAGTTTCAGTGCAGCAGGAGGAAAGTAATGGAGCACAATACTCTTGGAGTCATTTTACAGAATTCTGCATAAAAATGGATTCTAGATATTGTCTAATGTCTGAGATGAATAAACCTCTTGTAATACTGTAATTAGTCTTTTATCATAGGCCATTTGGCATTGCCTCTAGCTCATTTGGTTGTGTTTTGTCATCAACCCCTTTGAGTCTTAAAATACCACAATGGTTTTCTCTGTGGGTACTATTCATCCCCTAAATTCAATTTTTTCAGCACATTTAAAAAAAACCATGATGTTCGTGTCAACACTCGTGATGATTAAATGCATGTCTGAGACAGATAAAGGGTTTGAAGGAATAGGTCACCCAAAAATGAAAATTGTCATTTATTTACAGCATGGCATTCTAAACCTATGAATATATGATTTTCTTCAGTGGAAACCATAAAAGATATTTAAGATATGTCTCTGCGTTTTCTTTTGTGCACACAATAAAAGTCAAAGGTGTCCAAAACAGTTGAAATATTCTTTAAAATGTCTTCTTTTTGCGTTCCACAGAAAGAAAGTAATATAGTCTAATGATCTAATGCAAAATTTCAGGTGAACCATGCAAATAATTCGCTGTTAACAACTGCAATTAAGATGTGTGTTTTGGTCAGTCTGATCGCAAGTGGATGACGCTAAATACAGGACACCGGGGTCTACATTTACATGACAACAATGTACTGAAAACTTGCGTTTTTTACGTACAGACAACAACGTTAACAAAATTGTTCCCGTGGATCTGCGAAAATGACTAAAAACGCTCTATTCTGCTGCCAGGCCAGTAGCTGATGATGTGAATAAGAAAACACTATTCACCTATAGGCTGAACATGTAATGGCGCATGACGTCACCGTTTTCACAAATTCTCGTTTTTGTTGTTTACAATAACGGTCATGACCGAATTTTACTGTTAGCCCAGTTAGTGGATGAACACAAGGCCATCATTAAAGGAACGTTCGGGCCGGGTGTCAATCTATTGCGTCTTATTAACTCACTGTCATCCATTGTCTGCAACACATTTCTTCTCCCTCTTTGTCTTTCGGCCATTTTCTCCTCTGCTAAAGAAACTCTTGAGCCTCTTATAAGTCCTCG